ACTTATACTGACTTACTTTAAAGCATTTGTATTAAAATTGAATTTGAATTCAAGTTCCCAAATAATTATTGAACTATTTCCTTCAGCCAGATAATCAGATTTCTGGTTGTACAAGTTCTACATATGGATTATACTTTAAAAGTTAAAAACGTGTCCTCTAAAATTAAATTATCTGTCTAATTTTCTAAGTTTTCTTACCACCTGTCTTCCCTTTGCCAATGATTACATTAGGATAAATTCTGTCTGCTTTCCTTAGATGAGGTAAGAAAAACTTTAAGTCTTCAAATGCATCGGGTACTGTTTCATTCTTACCCGTTGTATCCACTTTCTTCTGTACAACTGAAAGAAAGAAAGAAAACAAAACAGCAAAAGGGCTATTGAGTTTATAAGCATAGGGAATTTTCTCCCTAGATTAGTTTTTCTTTAATGGGGATTGTTGTTGTTGTTGTTGTTGTTATGTGCTGTCAAGTTGGTTCCGACTCATAGAGACCCTGTATAGAGTTTTCAAAGAGCAGATGGTGGATTTGAACTGACGACCTCGTGACTCACAGTCCACTGCTGATCCTACAGTGCCATACCAGGAGTAAAGAAATTAATGAGGGTAAGTAAATTATTTCACAGATTAATTTATTATTCAGCTTAAAAGAAATACCACTATTAAATAGTAATTATAGAAAGCTTAAGGCTATAAAATGTAGTTCAGAAATTTTTTATTCATCTCTATTTAAAAATTATAGTTAAGTCTGGTGTGGTGTGGTAGGATAAACACTGGACTGCTAACTGCAAGGTCGGTGGTTCAAACCTACTAGCCTCTTTGGAAACCCTACACAGTGTTGTTGAAGTGACTGAAAGGCTCTTAACAACAATAAAAACAACATTTAACTCTAGCATCATGAACTTCTACAATAAACATGAATCAATAAACTCTGAGCTAAAGTAATATTTGGAGTCCTGGTGAGGCACTGTGGAAAAAAGCACTGGACTGCAAGGTTGGTTAGAACCACAAGGTCAGCGGTTCAAATTCACCACAGTTCCTTGGAAACATTATACAAGGTCGTTATAATTCGGAACCAAGTTGATGGCACTTAACAACAGCAACAAAGTAATACTTTAGTCTAGAACCATGAACTTGGAGCATGGTGGCTTTGTAGGATAAGCACTGGACTGTGAGTCACAAAGTTGGTGATTCAAGCCCACCAGCCCCTCCAGGAGAGAAAGATGAGTCTCAGAAACCCTATACAGGGTAGCTATGAGTTATTGATATTTTGTTATTGATAACAAGTGGGTTCTAAATATGCATGTAAATATACGGTTTCTGAACTGGTGGGCTCAAGAATACTAAGAGCTAAACAAACTTGAGGGTAATACAATTGTCAGTTATAAATAAAGAAAATAGAATTTAAATATGCAGCAATTAGTCTGCTCTGCCAATTTGATTAATATCACTGCATGAAATTAGCATCTTTACAACTTCATTTTGCAGTCCCTCAACTTAATAACTCTGTACCATTAACTTGAAACTGCCATCATATTATTTTGCTAGTGCATCATTTCATGATGGTGTGACAACTAAAGTAAGTTCTTCAAATATCTAGGTATTAATTTGTCTCTACTTTCTCTTCAGAATGTCAACTATTGTGTTCTGATAAATCTGTTTCTGTTCTTTACAGTGGAATGGAGATAGAAGGCCTACTATAATTTATCTGCTACAGTGAATTGATTCTGGCATTTTCATCCTGTAAGTCAGGTGTTTTAAAGGGGGAGTATATGGATAAGAACCAGATATAATATTACACAGCTTAATATTGGAACTTTTTGTATGTGTTATAGATTACAGAAGGAAGAGTATGCTGTTACAAAGCTGTATAATTTGATAGGAATTAAACTTGAAAAGTATAAAGGGACCTGCAAATATGCATGTAAGTATAAGGCTATGATTCCTGTTCATGGAGTCCTGGCTTTGTAGGATAATAAGCACTGACTGCTAACTTCAAGGTGTGCAGTTTAAACTCACCAGGCACTTTCAGAAACCCTATACAGGATCATTATGAATCAGAATCAACTCGAAGGCATTTAACAACAAGGAGCTCTGGTAACGTAGTGGTTACGAATCGGACTGCTAATCTCATTGTCAGCGGTTCGAAACTACCAGCCACTCCACGGGAGAAAGATGAGGCTTTCTGCTCCTGTAAAGATTTACAGCCTCGGAAACCCTATACAGGGTCGCTATGAGCCTGAACTGACTACACAGCACATAACAACAACAACAACAGCAACATGATATCATGATTCCTATTAGTGATGTTTTCTATGGTGCTCACTAGTATTGTTGTTAAGTGCCACTGAGTCAGTTCCCAACTCATAGCGCCCCTGTACAGGAGGAGCAGCTGGTGGGTTGGTACTGGTGACTTTGTGGTTCACAGTTCAGTGCTGGTCCTACAGCATCACACCAAAAGTCCAAAATGCTGTTGTTGTTGTTGTTAAATGCCATCGACTTGATTCTGACCCATACTTATATAGGGTTTCCAAGGAGCAGCTGGTGAGTTTGAACTGCTGACACTGAAGTTCAAACCAGGACTCCGTCCCTAATATTGGTGGTGGTAGTTATGTGCTGTGGAGTTGGTTCTGACTCATAGTGACCCTGCACGGGATTTCCGAGGTTATAAATCTTTATAGGAGCAGAAAGCCTCATTTTTTCCCTGCAAAACAGCTGGTGGTTTCGAACTGCTGACCTTGAGGTTAGCAGCCCAATTCGTAACCACTAAGCTACCAGAACTCATTTATCACATGCATAGTTGATGCCACTGACTAAATGACCATGTTACAGAACAAAGTTAAAAGGCCCATTGAGAAACCATACTTGGCCTGGCTCATTAGCACAGTATTATGTTAAATCCAAAGTTCAATAATGGGATTGATTGACTTCTCACATGGCAGTGTGAGGTGCTCCACAGATCTGTACCTCAGGGGAAGTGGTGAAAAATCATAAAAAGCAAAACCAATAGTTTAAAGTTTTCAGAAATAGGCTTATGGCCACCAGCAAATGAAGAAACATGTATTCAGAAAATCTTGAAAGATTTGATAGCAAAATCAAGAATGTGGGTAGTTGAGCTAAAACCACCCTCTTCTCTTCTAGCTCAGCAAGATAGATATTACAGCCCAGTCTGGTAAAACACAGAAGTCCTTCCCCCACCAGCCCCTAGGCAGAGAGCTTTCCTTCAGAAGTAGCAGGTCATCAGTTTTTCTTATCCTGCCTCCAGCTCCCTGTTACTGAGGCGGTATTTTGAGAGAGTGAAGGGAAGAGGAGGGGACTTCTGCTTAGTCCTCACTATGAAACAGAGGCTCTATCCTGGGTATGGCCCAGCTAACAATATTGGGACCGCCATCTCCTTTGTCATGACTTTTAATGGTTTTATACCAAGATAAGCAAGCCACAAAACCTCAGGCAACTGCCCCTCCACCTCCAGCATGTGCTTATACCCTAGTGAAGAGGTCAATCTGAGAAAAGCATACCTGTGCCCAGTTCCTATCTCAGAGATTTTGCCTAGGATAAGAAACAGGCCATAAAGCAGAGCGGTCCTAATTGCTTCACAAAGGAATTGATTTAATATGCAATAAAAGTGGAGAAATGCAAATCTAAGAGTGTTCTCAAAAACACCCAAGGATGTGCAATTGAGAGAAAATTCATAATCTAATGAACATACAGACTAAACTGTAACTGGTTTTCAGGAAAGAATGAGAGAAAAAGGACAGATGTACTGGGTCTAGAACAAATATCAGATGGTGACCTTGGGAATTATTCCTTCAAAAGTGTCCCAGTTTGATTGGCTCAGCATTGTTGTTGTTAAATGCTGTCAAGTCAATTCTGACCCATAGCGCATGGAGAGTGATTCATTGAAAACAGGGCTTCATTGAAAACAAAACACAAATAGCTAGACACTAGTAGAACTCAATAGCTGGGTGTGGCCAGGAAAAGATACACAGAGAGCTTAGCCTACACCATGGTCATCCAGGGTGACTGTGGGCAACCCAAAGCTGTGTCTCCCAAAAAAGCAACATCCCTGTGGGGGGTGGGTACAGATAAAGTTCACTAACATCAATCTGCCAGTCACTAACCAAAGGAACAAACAAATAAGAGTAACCAGGTGGGGTGGGGAGACCAGTACCCAGAATTGCTACTACGCTTTATCAATAAACAAAATGTACAGTTTCCAACAAAAAATTGCAAAATACGAAAAGAAACCAGAAAGTATGACCATACACCAAGAAAAAAGCAGGCAACAGAAACTGCCTACAAAAGAAGGCAACTAGATTTACGAACCTAAAGTCTACGAACAGACCATGACTTCAAAGTGGCTATTATAAATGTTCAGAGAACTATAGGAAACCGTGACTAAAGAAGTAAAATAAGGTATGATGACAACTTCACATCAAATAAAAAATACCAGTAAAGATAGGCCAGTCTAAAGAATATGATGGAAGTTGTGAAGTTGAAAACACAAGAATTAAAATGAAAATTTAACTTGTTGTCAGGTGCCATCGAGTCGGAACCGACTCATAGCGACCCCATGCACAGCAGAACGAAACAATGCTCGATCCTGGGCCAACCTCACCACCG